TCGGCTTTCTGTCCGTCGCACGCCCTGGGCGTGTGGCGGTTTCTGCCCGTCGCTCGCCCCCCAGCGTGCGACGGTTTTTCTGCCCATCACGCGGGGGCCCCGCTGCCCTGCTTCCTGTCGTCCCCGCCGCCCACTTCCTTCTCCCACTCCTACTTCGCGTGCAGCAGTTTGGGTGGGGGAAGGGGGGGGGGGAGGGTGTTGGGGGGACTCAAGAGTGGTGTTGGGGGGTGGCAGGAATGGATCAACAGCACCAGCCCCCCCCCGCCCCCCCCCCCCCCCCCTCTTCTCCTCCATCCCCCCTGCTGCGGGTGCAGCAGTGGGGGAGAGGGAGTGTGAGGGGGTGGCGGATGTGTTTCAGCAGCAGCAGCTGCCGCCACGCCTCCTCCTCTCTGACGGCTGCACCTGCTGCTGTGGGGGGAGTGTGAAGTGGTGGGGAAGTTCAGGGGGTGTGGATGGTGTGTGACTCAATCTAGCAACTGTTGCCTCGCTGCCTCCTCTCACTCCTCTCTGTTGTCTCCCGCTGCGCAGGGTGTACCCCTTCAGGGGGTGTTATGCACATGGCTATTCCTGCATGCAGTTAGGGTGTGTGTCAGAATATATTTCTGTATAACTGCATGTAGTTCTAGCTGTAGTGTAGTTATATTACTGTCCTGCTTGTGGTGCACCCCTCCTTACTTGTCTCTTTTATAACTTGGGCCTTTGGCCCTTTAGTGAAACCACTTCCTTTCTCGACTTGGCACAACCTTCTCGACACCACCTTGGCATAGGCTACTAAGCCTAGGCCCTAACTTAAACCCCCCTCCTACTCATGCTACTATTTTGATACCGCACATTTGAAGTAGTTACCGACGCAAGCGACATCGCCATTGGAGCCGTACTACTACAGGATTTCGGCAACGGTTTACAGCCCATCGCATACGAGTCACGAAAACTGCATCCGCCCGAGAAAATTTACCCGATACACGATCGCGAAATGCTCGTGATCGTGCATGCGTTCAAAGTGTGGCGCTGTTACTTGACCGGCGCAGACATGACAGTACGGACAGACCATAAATCACTACAGTACCTCCGTGCACAGCCCCACCTCAACCCACGACAGATTCGCTGGCTCGACTTCCTTGAGTCCAATTATCACTACACGGTCATCTACAAAAAGGGGGCATCGAACATCGCCAACGCACTAACCCGTCCCACGGCCCAAATCCACGCCATACTACTCGCCCAGACCAACCCACTACTGACAGGACTATTTACCCACGGCTATCAGACTGACCCATTCTTCACAGGAGGAAATTCGTAGCAGCAAAGGGAGTTTATTACGTAAAGCCGGCACCGACCGAATCTGGGTACCGAGCTACACATTACTACAGGAATTACTACTACAAGAGGCACACGACGGAGTTACCTCAGGCCATTTCGGAGTAGAAAAAACACGGCAGCAGCTGCAGCGGTACTACTACTGGCCCGAAATGCTGACCGACGTGCAGCGTCACGTGGCATCGTGTCCCACCTGCCAACTCATGAAATCATCACGGAAGCGGCTAGCAGGACAGTTGCAGCCGATACCACCCCCAGAGCGTGCTTGGCAGCAGGTGACGATGGACTTCGTCACAAGGTTACCGACCGGAACAAGTGGGAACGAAGCGATCCTGGTCGTCGTCGATCGGATGACGAAAATGGCACATTTAATTCTTCGTACCACCCCGAAACCGACAGACAGACAGAACGGACAAATCAGACCATGGAGCAACTCATCCGAGCCACGTGCGACGATCCGACCACCTGGGAACAGCAACTACCACTCATAAAATTCGCGTACAACAACTCACCATCCGCCACGACCCAACAGTCACCGTTTTACCTGAACTACGGACAAGACCCTACAGTACCATGACCCCGAATCCCGATAACCCAGTACCACGCGCGCAACAGTTCACAGAAATCTTACAATCAACACGGACCCGGGCAGCCGACGCAATTAAAAAGGCCAACATAATCGCTAAACGCAACACCAACCGCCACCACGGACCTGTCACTTACCAGCCCGACGACCTAGTTTTACTCGACACCCAAACCTCCGCCTGCCCATAACCCCGAAACTCCGCCCCCGATATTTGTCACCAATATAATGGTAAGAACAATAGATTTTGCTGCATGCTAGGAAGGGTGTAGATGGGTGTACGGTTGGGTTATGTGACTCTAGCATGGGGGATTGCTTGGGCTAGGGGAATGACGTGAAGTTGGTGGCCTGGGGATTTGGGAACATTGGGAAGAGGACCAAAGCGCCTCGAGGGACAGGAAATCTGCATTGACCAATAAGGGCCACAGGCGACCCGAACCCAACTCAAGGTGGTGGCAACTGCCTAAACTCAGAGTGGGAATAAAGTAGCCTAGCCTAGCCAACTGAACCTGTTCTCTCTCGCTTTGTTTGCTCACTATAGTGGATTTACTTCACCACTCTAAGGTAACTACGGTAGCTAGGTGATACGCCACTAAGGGCAGCCAGCTTGTGGGAGCAGGAATCTCTCACAAAGCGAGAGAAGAGCTTACCAGCGACATGGATCGCCACAATCTGCGCGTGCAGCGTACGTACTCACGGCGGGAACGATCTCCGTCGCGGATGAGGCGCTCGAGGGAGCGTGGGAGATTGCCGATGCGCTCTGCCACGACAGGCTGCATATCGGGCGGATCCGGTGACGCCGACGGGCGTGCGAAGAGAAGAAAGCGGGGAAGATCTACGCATCAGGTCAGAATTGTGGAGGCGGCCCATGATCAGCGACCCGTGGAACCTGGCAGGAGGCCAGTGCGGGATGGATGGACGGCGTCACGAAGGCGACGTGGATGTGCACACTACGAGCGAGCAGGGTGATGAGGAGGAAGGGGAAGAGCCCCAGCCTGCTCGAGGCAGCAGAAGGCGCGGCATCGCGGCGACGACGGTTCCCCCACTGCGCGGGGCGGCAGAAGGTGCGACATCACCGGCGACGACAGTTCCCCACTACGCGGGGCGGCGGAAGGCACGACATCGCCAACGACGATGGTTTCCCCACTGTGCGGGGCGGCGGAAGGCGTGTAATCGCTGACGACGAAGGCTCCCCCACTGCGAGGGGCGGCGGAAGGCGCGACATCGCTGACGGCGACTGTTCCCCCACTGCGCGGGGCGGCGGAAGGCATGACATCGCCGACGACGAAGGCTCCCCCACTGTGAGGGGCGGCGGAAGGCGCGACATCGCTGACGGCGACTGTTCCCCACTGCGCGGGGCGGCGAAGGCGCGACATCGCCGACGACGACAGTTCCCCCACTGCGCGGGGCGGTGGAAGGCGCGACATCGCCGACGATGACGGTTCCCCCACTGCGCGGGGCGGCGGAAATCACGACATCGCCGACAACGACGGTTCCCCCACTGCGCGGGGCGGCAGAAGGTGTGACAGCGCCGTCAATGGGGTGAATTTCCCTATTACGCGGGAAGAAGGAAGGCAAGGGTGCAAGAAAATGGATGAAAGGGAGCGAGTCCGATGTGGGAAGGCGCGGAAGGATGGCGAAGAAGACAGGAATGGAGAGCGCTCACCTGCCGGGCAGCGCGAAGAGATGACACAAAGGAGCGTCGGGGAGTGGAGCGCCAAACAGGGGCACGCCAAGGAGAGGAAGAAGGAAAGAGGGCGTCAGCAGGTGTCTTCCGCTCACCTGAGCCGAGCCAGGATATGACCGCAGACGGCGCATGGCAATGGGCGGAGGACGGCAAGCAGATTGGGAAAGCGAGAAGACGAGCAGGACTACGAGGAGCGACGCCAGTGAAGCCCGCCTGGGTGGGAGCGGGGGCGCCACGGAGAAGGATGAGAAAGGGGCCAGGGAAGGCAATCACCGCACGGCTCCAGAGCAGAAGGAGGAGGTCAGCAGCGAAGGGAGCAAGAGCGGCATCGCCAAGAACGTTCTCCTGTGCAGAGAGATAGACGATGGGAAGATCAAGAAAGGTACAGGAGAGACTGCGAAGACAACCAGAGGCGAAGCCCGAGTCCAATTGGAACTAGGAGGCTGCGGCAACATGGAGAGGGATCGAGCGAGGCTAGAGCGGCTCGTGAGGGGTTGGAACGAGCACTGTACGGGATCAGCGCAGGAAGCAGAGGAGAAAAAGGAAAGCAGCGGGGGGCTGCTCTGTCAGATCGGGGAGGATCTGGGAGCTGGGATATGGGGAGGTGGGGCGCGACGGCAGCGCCACGGGTGGAGGTGCTGGTACGCTTCACAGGGAATGAGAGCACAGGCCCAAGCCTCAAGAATTACTTGATGCAGATAAGTAACGTTAAGTACCGGTGTGATCGGAGCGGGATGGATCCCATAGACTTCTTCCTAAGCCTGCCAAACACGCTGGGGGGGGAAGCAGAAACCTTGTATCGCATGAAGATGGGGAAGTGGCTGAGAAGAGCAGATGAGGAAGAGGAGGACCCGACGGTGCTGTTCCTGGAGCGGCTGAGGAAGCAATTCCCTGGGCATACAGCAGCACGCATCAAAGAATTTCAGGAGTTCAAGAGGAGGGACGAGGAATCCCTACTGACGTATTATGGGCGGTTGATGAATCTAGCGGAAGACGTGGTGTGCACGGACAGCAGTATGATCATTAGTAAGTTTCTGAATGGGTTGGACAAGGGACTGGCAGGAGGACTGAGAATGAGAGTCTATGAGCTAGGAGCGGACGCAACACCTAAGGAGGTGTTTGAGCTAGCAGAGAGAGTGGAGCTGGCGTAGAGAAAGTATGAGGTGTATCTGCCGAGGCCGACAGAGAGGAAGAATCCCGCATGGGCTTCAGCAATGATACATGAGACATGAGGGAGAGAAGAGAGCCGACAGGAGTGAGGAGCTGAGACACGCACCTGCCACCAATGCAAGCAACCAGGGCATTTGATGAGAAATTGTAGGAATTGCGACACCTGTGGGAAGCCAGGGCACAGACAAAAGGATTGTCCAGATGCACCGACCTGTGAGGTATGTGGGAAGCGGGGGCATAAGGGGAAAGACTGCTACCAACAGACGGGAGGGCCAAGGAGGACGCCAGAGGAGATAGAAGGGCAGATCGGGAGATTGCAGGCACAGCTGCAGGCACTGGGGGGGGAGAAGGAGAAGGAGGCAGGGTTATATGCAAGGGAAGAGGATGACGAAGCAGAGGTGATAGAGGAGCCGGAGCCTGAGTACAACTTCATGGTGCTACGCAGCCGAGAGGAGTTGGGCCTGCGTAGCGGGGGCAGTGATGGGAGAAAGGAACACATGGTTAAGGAGAGGAGCAAGCCAAAGTGAGCACCAGAGGAGAAGGGTGAAGGGGAAGAGGAGCCGGCTAGGCATCCCAAGGAGCGGCTAGCCAGTCAAGCGACGCGGTGCTGGTAGCAGGAGCGGGGACAGTGGCAGTGGGAGGAGAAGTGGCAAGAACCGCGATCTTAGATACTGGGGCATAGAGTGTGATGCTGGGGAGGCGCCTGGCAGAGAAGCTGGGTTGACCGGGCCAAGGCAGCACATAAAACGAGGAATGTTAGTCATGATAGCAGAGGGAGGTGAGCCCAAGTGGCTGCCGTGCACCAAGACACCAGTGGAGATAGTCTTGATGCCGAGGAGGGAGGAACAGACCAGTATAAGGCTGCAATGTGGAATCTCAGACTCAGAAGATTTTGATGTACTGCTAGGCACGGACTTGATCTGGGGAGTGGGGATGACAATCTGCACGTGGAAGGAGAAGGTAAAGTTCCGGAAGCAGTATTTGGAGCGGGGGAGCAAGACGGGAGAACTACCGGTATCCTTCACAAAGTAGGAGCCTAGGAGGGCATATACGGCTGAGCAGACAGGGACAAGGGAGAGAGAGAGAGAGCAGGACTCGTGGGCAAGGCAGCAGCGGCCAATGCGTGGCAGGAACCGATAAAGCTGGTAGAGCTATTCGGGGGAATAGGAGCAGGGCTAGCAGCGGTACTTAGGGCAGCAATGGCCGTGAGGGAATGATATATGTGGAAAATAATGAACAGGTGAGGAAGATGGCAGAGCATCATGCGAGGAAGCTGCAACAAGAGTATCCAGAGCTACTGGATGAGGCAGTGATAGTGAAAGCAATGCAAAGGACATTGATTGACGTAAGAAGCATCACACGAGAGGTAGTGAGGAGCTGGGGGCATGTGGACCTGCTGGTGGCAGGATGGGAGTGCCAAGCCATGTCGAGGGCAGGGAAAGTCAAAGGATTGGGAGATCCAAGAGGGGCGCTGCTGGTGAATCTGCTGTGCATCATAGACTGGATCAAGGAAGGGCAAGAGAAGGTGGTGTACCTGCTGGAGCACCTAGACCTGGAAGGGGACCGCAGGGAGCCTGTCAGGAAAGTTCGGGAGTTAGTGACAAGAAGCTAGGGAAGGGAGTGAGATGTGACGCGGCCAGGCTGGGGGCACGAGCTCATCGTGTCAGACGATACTGGCAGAACGTCGTGTCAGATGAGCAATTGCAGCAGGAGCTGGATGGGATACGCAGGGACTGGAGCAAGACCGTGCGAGAGATTTTAGAGCCCGGCAGGATGGCGGCGCCAGTTAGGAAGGGCAGGCATGAGACACAATGCCCGTGCAACAAAGTGGGGGCAGAGCGCAGGGCATGGCCGACATTAGTGGAGTACGAAGGAGCAGCTGGGTTCAGAGAGGAAGACGGGCTGCCAGGAGAAGGCATGGTGTACGACAGCAGGACAAAGAAATGGGAGGAGCCGACTGCGCTGGAAAGGGAATTGGCAATGGGGTACGGAGAGGAGGTAACAAAGGCACCAGGGGTGACGGAAAAGGAAAGGAGGAGAGCATTAGGACAGACCATGGATGGACAAGTCATGTAGTGATTACTGCGGCGGATGTGGAGAGGGCTGGTGCTGGAAGCGGAAAAGGGACAAGGGTGTGAGGGGACAAGGGTGAAAAAGGTGGGGGCATGGGCATGCATGGCAGCCAAGGAAGAGCCGGTGTGGGTCGTGGGGAATGCAATGAGTGAGAGAGGAAAGGAGGCAATGCAAGAGGTGATGGCAAGGTACAGGCACGCATTCGTGTTCACCTTATGGGAGTTGGGGAAGTGTTCTGTGAAGGAGATGGAGTTGAAGCTGGTGACGGATGAGCCGGTGTTCCAGAGGAAGCGGAGGATGACACTTGGGGACGAGGATATTTGTAAGGAAAAGTGCAGGGAGCTAATGGAAGCGGGGCCGATACAGAGATCGGAGTCAGAGTATGCGACACCGACGGTGGTAGCTGCCCGAAAGGACCTGCTAGGGGAGGTGCTAAGCAGACGCATGTGCGGGAACTATAGAGCATTGAATAAGGTGACAGTGCCCGACAGGTACCCAATGTCCACAACCGAAGACATCTTTGACTGACTGGGGGCAGGGGAGATCTTTAGCACACTGTACTTAAGACAGGGGTTTAACCAAATTAGGATAATGAAAGAGGACGTGCGGAAGACGGCGTTCCATGGTGCAGATGGCTTGTACGAATGGCTATTCATGCCATTTGGGCTGAGAAATGCGTCAGCCATCTTTCAGAGAGTGATGGATAGCGTGCTGAGGGGACTGGAGTGTGCAGCGTGTTACATAGACGACGTAGTGAATTTCAGCAGGACTGAAGAGGAGCACGTGAGAGACGTGGAGCAGACACTGAAGGCGTTGGCAGCAGCTGGGCTGACATGTCATCCGAAGAAATGCAGGTGGGGAGAGGCAACCATGCAGTACCTGGGGTATGAGGTCGGGGCGGGCAGCTAGGGATCCAGCAGGCAAAGATTGAGGTGCTGAACAGGCTGCAGCAGCCGAAGGACAGGAGCAGACTAAGAGCGGTACAGGGATTCCTGAGCTATTACCGCAGGTTCGTCCCGAATTTCAGCAAGCGGGCGTCACCATTGAACGGGCTGCTGAAGGAGGACAGGAAGTGGGAGTGGGGGACGGAGCAGGAAGCAGCATTGAAGGATCTGATGGAGGCGGTGCAGACGGCGACAATTCTGCTGCAGCTGCCCAAGGCAGACAAGCCCTTCTGCATGTACACCGACTAGAGCAGCCAAGGTATGGGTGCAATCCTGTGTCAGGAATTGGACGGGGAGGAGAGGGTTGTGGCGTACGCAAGCAGGAGCTGCAGCCCAGCGGAAGCCAAGTACAGCTCTTACCATGGGGAGGGGTTGGCAGCTGTGTGGGCTGTAAAACACTTTAGGGTATACCTACAGGGGAGGGAGTTTACACTGATTACAGACCATCAGCCCCTGCAATGGCTGATGACACACCAAGGGCTGACGGGGAGGAACGCACGTTGGGCCGTGACGCTGCAGGAATACGACTTCAAGATACGCCACACCGGCCGGAAGACTCTGCGGCACGTGGACGGGCTCTCAAGGAACCCGCCGGCAGCAGAGCCAGTGCACGCGCTGATGTTGCTGGCTAGGCAAGGGAAGAGGCAGCAGCAGGGAAGCAAAAGGGGCCAAAAGACATTTGGGAAGATCCAGCGGCGTTGCGATGGATTAAGGGAGAAACCGACGAGGATGAGCAGGTCTCTGACAGGGTGAGGGCAAGAGGGCACCATCACAGGTGGTATAAGGGACAACTGCAGCTACAGTCAGTGGATGGGTGGAAGCTGGTACCTGCACCACAGGAAAGGGAGGGAGTGATTAAGGAGGTGCACTGGAAGCTGGGGCACTTTGGGCATGAGCACACGTCGGAATTGTTGAAGACAGGCTGGTGGTGGGAAGGAATGAGAAGGGTGGTCAGAGAATGGGTCGGTAGATGCGAAGGGTGTCAGAGGAGCAAGGCCAGCTTGACACAGGCGAAGCAGGAGCTGCAGTCACTGCCGATAAGGGGGCTAGGGTTCAGGTGGTCTCTAGACATAGCTGGTGAGCTATCGCTGAGCAGGGGAGGCAAGCGGTACATACTGCTCATGGTGGAACACGCAAGCAAGTGGCTAGAGGTGTGTGCATTATCGAGCAAGGATTCCAGGCACGTGGCAAAGGCATTCAAGGGACAGGTCCTGTGCAGGTTTGGGGCACCAGGGGAGTGCTCACTGATCAGGGGACAGAATTCAGAGGGGAATTTCAGACTCTGTTGGACGAGCCAAGGGTGACACACAGGCTGACATCGAGATATCACCCGCAGAGCGACGGGTTGACTGGGCGCCTCGTACAGACGTTGAAGCGGAATTTGAGGGCGTATGGAGAGAAGCGCAAGAGAGACTAGGATGAAGATTTGGACTGGATTGCAGCAGGGTACAGGTTCGGGAAGCAGGCCTCCCTGAAGGACTACTCCCCTTATAGCATGCTGTTCGGGAAGGAGCCAATCCTGCCAGTGGGAGCACCGAGGGTACTAACAGATGTAGTGCAAGTCAGGGGAGCGGAGGAATGGGTGGCGCTAGCAGAGGCACGAGCACGGTACATGCGGGAGATGCTCCCTGCAGCTCTGGAAAACCTGCACACGGCACAGCTGAGGGATGCACACAGGTATGAGCAGCGGCAGCAGCAGGGGGGCAGGAAGGCCAAACCAGCAGTGACGGAAGGACAAGAGGTGTACCTGCGCAGGGCGAAAAGGGACACGCTGGATGTGGGCAAGCAGGGGAGAACATGAAGAAGAAGGGTAAGAGGATCAAGAGAGGAACCAGCCCAAGGCCAAGGTGAGGAAGAGGTGATCTCCGACATATTGCGGGCCATTTCGCATCAGTCACATGATCATGCTCGTCACCCGCCCACCTCCTCCTCCCTGGTGACTGGTATGTCAGCCCGTCCTTCCACGTCAGCCTGCTTCGCCCTTAGATACCATCCACCAGCCAACTGCCCGCAACCCGCCCAGCCAGCATGACACGACCGCCGACATAACCAATCATCACCCCCGAAAAGATTCTGAGTCACCGAGTTCGTGACCCACGGGGAGCTCGAAGGATCGAATTTCTGATCCGCTGGAAAGACCGTACGCCTACCGAAGACAACTGGGTTCCCTGGACAGAATTGGAAACCAACCCCGTCCTCACTGAGTATCTGCGCAGCCAAATTTCCGGGATGTACACGCGCTTTCGTAAGGAGGGCCTCCTTAAGGGTGGGGCTAGTGAAAGGAAAATTCATTTTCCTTACTTCGCGTCCCTGCTCAGCGCGTACACCACTGTTTCCCCGCCAACAGTACCCAACAATAATCTGTTACCACTACTCGCGACACTCGCCTCGACACTATCCCCGCCACTGTTCACGACGCGACCCAACCTCACGGTTCGGTTGGTAACCTGTACTCTGGACCTCCGCCTCGACAATTCCCAACCTCGGCACTAGGCCCGTCGCGCAACACCCATTTTCCACACATTACTGTTACCACTGTAGTTTCGCTATATATTCTTAGCTCATTCCTTCGCTCATTGTACTCTTGCTTCGATAGTGCAATCCTCGCTCGCTCACACTCAATTGCACTCGTAACAATCACCCGCCTTACACTGCAAAAATAGCATAGCATAAGCTGCTTTAGAAAATCACTCTGTTTCCACAACAGAAGTGATTGTAAGGAGCACACTGAACTTCGGATTAGGATACTTTGAGCCACGTGGTGTTCATTGGCAGGCGGTGCTCCCTTTCTGTGCTTGTATGGGCCAAACCCAAAGCAGCCTCGCGCGGCGCTTCCTCGATCCAACATCGACGTCACACACACATCTGACATCTCAAGAAACCGCGAATTTCTTCCACCCCCTCTGACAATCACCTTTCACCACCACCATTGACGGGTGTACTGTACTGTGGCAGTAGGACCAGACCAGGCTAGTTGGCACTTGGTCCCAGAATTCATAATTTCTCAGATTCACTCACATACTCGAAGCTTCTGCCGTCATTCACAGATTCACGAGCACAGCCACAGCCAGCCAGTACATTTGGCAAGTAGCAGCCTGTGAATCTACGACACCATCCTTCGCCAATCACCCTTTTTTTGCAGCGGTCTTTCTCGCGAAGCCTCATGGCGTTTACCATTGCCACGCAGCCTACTACCCCTTACGAGGGACAGAAGCCTGGGACCTCGGGCCTGAGGAAGAAGGTAGCGTTCTTGCCTTGCTCGCGCAAATCAAGCTTAATTTCCCTACCGTCTGTCATCTTATTAGCAGAATCCGCTCCAATTCGTCGTGTTACCAGGTCACGGTCTTCCAACAGCCAAATTACTTGGCGAATTTCGTCCAGGCAACCTTCAATTCACTTCCCGCTGACAAGATCCAGGGTAAGCATGCGAATTTAGATCCTCCTCCCAGACTTCGATCCTTTTCCGTGAATACGCTTTTCCGTAAGAACTCTGAGAACTCATCGTAGCCTTCATCTTCAAACGTCTCAAGTGTCAGACACCTAGTCTCTCTCAATCCCGTTCCGTAGCCTGGCATGCTTCAGGCTTATTTGTTGATTTCAACTACCGGTCACGAAATCTTGCCTGAATGTCACCATCCCGGTTCTGACATGGTCCGGTCTGTTTCTTCTCCTGTTCAGGCTGCACTCTCGTGGTTTCCGGTGACGGTCGGTACTATTCCAAGGACGCGGTTCAGGTAACGCCGGGGTCCGTTCTTTCGGATGAGCAAATTCATTCTCGTAGCTTTCGTGTCCGTGAAATCTGACTGGTTAGCTTGTGTATTGTAGTTTTCTGGATCCAGACGACTTGAATCCATGACGACGCCTTGAATGCATGACAGATTATCGCCAAGCTCGCAGCCGGTAATGGAGTTCGCCGGATCTGGGTGGGTCAGGACAGCCTCCTCTCCACGCCCGCTGTGTCTGGAATCATCCGCGATCGCGTCGGCATCCAGGTAAAGATATAACACTCTTTGTCCACTAACAATTCAAGTAATATCTTAGGTCGTACCCATCGCGTCACGTTTTCCAAGAACTCTTGCAAGCCTAGGTTTGGTCAAGAAATCTGTACCGACCTTCAGACGTTCCGCTCTGAATCGTCTCAACAGTGACAGGCTATGCCTGACAGTACTACCTCTTGTCATCTGGTTGCCTGAAACAGGGGGACAAGGCGTACGGAGCGTTCATTCTCACAGCGAGCCACAACCCCGGTGGGCCGCATGAGGACTTTGGCATCAAGTACAACTGCGAGAACGGAGGGCCGGCTCCTGAAGGCTTGACCAACCAGATCTACCAGCACACCACTACCATCTCCGAGCTCAAGATCGCAGAAGGCCTGCCCGAGGTACGTTAGTGAGGCCCGATACAGACCTCCTGAGACTGAGGACTTCGGCATCTAGTACAACTGCAAGAACGGAGGGCCAGCTCCCGAAGGCCTGACCAACCAGATCTACCAGCACACCACTACCATCTCCGAGCTCAAGATCGCTGAAGGCCTACCTGAGGTATGATAGGGAGGCTTTCTTGATGACCCCCTTCTTAAGACTTGGGCCTAAAGTATAGGAGAAAGAGCGTAGTCCAGGTGGAGCTCCCGAAGGCCTGACCAACCAGATCTACCAGCACACCACAGCTATCTCCGAGCTCAAGATCGCTGAAGGTCTGCCCGAGGTATCATGGAATTTGTTTATCTCTGGAAACTCAAACGTGAATACAAAGCATGCTGGCTTCCTCCTGGTGCTCCTTCCTATTGCTTTCCTTGCTTCCCGTGGTAGGTGGGCATCAGCACTATAAGGCTGCAATCGTTTGACAGCCCGAATGACAAGTTTGAGGTGGAGATGTTCAGCTCCACTGTGCTCTGTACCTTATGCGTTGCCTCCTCATTCCTCTTGCCTCCCCTGTGGCCATTGCAGGTGGACATCAGCACCATCGGGCTGCAGTCATTTGATGGCCCGAATGGCAAGTTCGAGGTGGAGGTGTTCGACTCCGCTGAGGACTACATCAAGCTCATGAAGTCAGTCACACATCACTCCCCTTCATTTGAAACATTCCTTTTTTTTTCTTTCCAAAAATGAACCAGAAAACTATGCTGAGGACTACATCAAGCTCATGAAGCCAGTCCTCTGTCCTTGTCTTTCCCTCCGCTCTCCCCTTAGTTGTCACTAGCTTGCGTCCCTTCCATGATCCATCTGTCCTGCTATTTTCTCCCTTGGTGCAAAAGTGTGTTCACTCCGTTCCCAATGCACTGCCTTCCTCCTCTCTTAACGTCATGCCATTCGCTTCACACTTTCGTTGCTGCTACTGCCGTTGCTACTGCTGTTGCTACTGCTGTTGCCGCAGGACCATCTTCGACTTCGATGCCATTCGGGGCGCTCCTCAAGAATCCCAAGTTCTCGTTCCTGTACGTCTCTACGCCCTGGCAAGCCAGGTCCTAGTCCTGAGGTGTCTCTGCCTTTTTTAAGCAGCAATCATACAGTGAGGGCGTCTGTTAGCATCAAAGTAAGACAAGAAGTCAATATCATTCTCAATGCTTCAATTCAATGTCACTTCATGGGGCGAGAAGTCCATGTCATTCTCTTCCCCTGATATCTTAACTCGTTCTACTTGTCGTTGCGTGCTTCTCACAGGTTGGATGGGCTGCACGGTGTGGCGGGAGCATACGCAGAGAAGCTGTTTGTGCGCGAGCTGGGAGTGTCAGCCTCGTCCCTTGTCAACTGCGTGCCAAAGGTACGTCCTGCCTCTTGTCTCTTGCTACTGCCCTACACTCTCGCCATCCCCTGTATCCTCCCTCTCTCACTGCCTGCTGCGTGCGGGATGGGAATGAGCTGTTTGTGCGTGAGCTGGGAGTGCCAGCCTCGTTTCTCGTCAACTGCGTGCCAAAGGTGTGTCCTGCCTCTTGCTAATACCGCACACTCCTACATTCTGCTCTGCTCTACGTGAACTTCTTTTTGAAAATCTCCGCCTCCACTTCACACTCTCCCCCTCCGCTCCACTCTCCCTCCCCCTCCGCTCCACTCTCCCTCCCCCTCCGCTCCACTCTCCCTCCCCCTCCGCTCCTCTCTCCCTCCCCCTCCGCTCCACTCTCCCTCCCCCTCCGCTCCACTCTCCCTCCCCCTCCGCTCCACTCTCCCTCCCCCTCCACTCCACTCTCCCTCCCCCTCCGCTCCACTCTCCCTCCCCCTCCGCTCCACTCTCCCTCCCTCTCCGCTCCACTCTCCCTACCCCTCCGCTCCACTCTCCCTCCCCCTCCGCTCCACTCTCCCTCCCCCTCCGCTCCACTCTCCCTCCCCCTCCGCTCCACACTCCTCCCCCTCCGCTCCACTCTCCCTCCCCCTCCGCTCCACTCTCCCTCCCCCTCCGCTCCACTCTCCCTCCCCCTCCGCTCCACTCTCCCTCCCCCTCCGCTCTACTCTCCCTCCCCCTCCGCTCCACTCTCCCTCCCCCTCCGCTCCACTCTCTCTCTCCCCCTCCGCTCCACTCTCCCTCCCCCTCCACTCCACTCTCCCTCACCCTCCGCTCCACTCTCCCTCCCCCTCCGCTCCACTCTCCCTCCCTCTCCGCTCCACTCTCCCTACCCCTCCGCTCCACTCTCCCTCCCCCTCCGCTCCACTCTCCCTCCCCCTCCGCTCCACTCTCCCTCCCCCTCCGCTCCACTCTCCCTCCCCCTCCGCTCCACTCTCCCTCCCCCTCCGCTCCACTCTCCCTCCCCCTCCGCTCCAATCTCCCTCCCCTCCGCTCCACTCTCCCTCCCCCTCCGCTCCACTCTCCCTCCCTCTCCCGCTCCACTCTCCCTCCCCCTCCGCTCCACTCTCCCTCCCCCTCCGCTCCACTCTCCCTCCCCCTCCGCTCCACTCTCCCTCCCTCTCCCGCTCCACTCTCCTCCCACCCCTCCGCTCCACTCTCCCTCCCCCTCCGCTCCACTCTCCCTCCCCTCCGCTCCACTCTCCCTCCCCCTCCGCTCCACTCTCCCTCCCCCTCCGCTCCACTCTCCCTCCCCCTCCGCTCCACTCTCCCTCCCCCTCCGCTCCACTCTCCCTCCCCCTCCGCTCCACTCTCCCTCCCCCTCCGCTCCACTCTCCCTCCCCCTCCGCTCCACTCTCCCTCCCTCTCCGCTCCACTCTCCCTCCCCCTCCGCTCCACTCTCCCTCCCCCTCCGCTCCCCTCTCCCTCCCCCTCCGCTCCACTCTCCCTCCCCCTCCGCTCCACTCTCCCTCCCCCTCCGCTCCACTCTCCCTCCCCCTCCGCTCCACTCTCCCTCCCCCTCCGCTCCACTCTCCCTCCCCCTCCGCTCCACTCTCCCTCCCCCTCCGCTCCACTCTCCCTCCCCCTCCGCTCCACTCTCCCTCCCCCTCCGCTCCACTCTCCCTCCCTCTCCGCTCCACTCTCCCTACCCCTCCGCTCCACTCTCCCTCCCCCTCCGCTCCACTTTCCCTCCCCCTCCGCTCCACTCTCCCTCCCCCTCCGCTCCACTCTCCCTCCCCCTCCGCTCCACTCTCCCTCCCCCTCCGCTCCACTCTCCCTCCCCCTCCGCTCCACTCTCCCTCCCCCTCCGCTCCACTCTCCCTCCCTCTCCGCTCCACTCTCCCTACCCCTCCGCTCCACTCTCCCTCCCCCTCCGCTCCACTCTCCCTCCCCCTCCGCTCCACTCTCCCTCCCCCTCCGCTCCACTCTCCCGACCCCTCCGCTCCACTCTCCCTCCCCCTCCGCTCCACTCTCCCTCCCTCTCCGCTCCACTCTCCCTACCCCTCCGCTCCACTCTCCCTCCCCCTCCGCTCCACTCTCCCTCCCCCTCCGCTCCACTCTCCCTCCCCCTCCGCTCCACTCTCCCTCCCCCTCCGCTCCACTCTCCTCCCCCTCCGCTCCACTCTCCCTCCCCCTCCGCTCCACTCTCCCTCCCCCTCCGCTCCACTCTCCCTCCCTCTCCGCTCCACTCTCCCTACCCCTCCTCCGCTCCACTCTCCCTCCCCCTCCGCTCCACTCTCCCTCCCCCTCCGCTCCACTCTCCCTCCCCCTCCGCTCCACTCTCCCTCCCCCTCCGCTCCACTCTCCCTCCCCCTCCGCTCCACTCTCCCTCCCCCTCCGCTCCACTCTCCCTCCCCCTCCGCTCCACTCTCCCTCCCTCTCTGCTCCACTCTCCCTACCCTCCGCTCCACTCTCCCTCCCCCTCCGCTCCACTCTCCCTCCCCCTCCGCTCCACTCTCCCTCCCCCTCCGCTCCACTCTCCCTCCCCCTCCGCTCCACTCTCCCTCCCCCTCCGCTCCACTCTCCCTCCCCCTCCGCTCCACTCTCCCCTCCCCCTCCGCTCCACTCTCCCTCCCCCTCCGCTCCACTCTCCCTCCCCTCCGCTCCACTCTCCCTCCCCCTCCGCTCCACTCTCCCTCCCTCTCCGCTCCACTCTCCCTACCCCTCCGCTCCACTCTCCCTCCCCTCCGCCGCTCCACTCTCCCTCCCCCTCCGCTCCACTCTCCCTCCCCCTCCGCTCCACTCTCCCTCCCCCTCCGCTCCACTCTCCCTCCCCCTCCGCTCCACTCTCCCTCCCCCTCCGCTCCACTCTCCCTCCCCCTCCGCTCCACTCTCCCTCCCCCTCCGCTCCACTCTCCCTACCCCCTCCGCTCCACTCTCCCTACCCCTCTCGCTCCACTCTCCCTCCCCCTCCGCCCCACTCTCCCTCCCCCTCCGCTCCACTCTCCCCCCCCTCCGCTCCACTCTCCCTCCCCCTCCGCTCCACTCTCCCTCCCCCTCCGCTCCACTCTCCTCCCCCTCCGCTCCACTCTCCCTCCCCCTCCGCTCCACTCTCCCTCCCCCTCCGCTCCACTCTCCCTCCCCCTCCGCTCCACTCTCCCTCCCCCTCCGCTCCACTCTCTCCCCCTCCGCTCCACTCTCCCTCCCCCTCCGCTCCACTCTCCCTCCCCCTCCGCTCCACTCTCCCTACCCCTCCGCTCCACTCTCCCTCCCCCTCCGCTCCACTCTCCCTCCCCCTCCGCTCCACTCTCCCTCCCCTCCGCTCCACTCTCCCTCCCCCTCCGCTCCACTCTCCCTCCCCCTCCGCTCCACTCTCCCTCCCCCTCCGCTCCACTCTCCCTCCCCCTCCGCTCCACTCTCCCTCCCCCTCCGCTCCACTCTCCCTCCCTCTCCGCTCCACTCTCCCTACCCCTCCGCTCCACTCTCCCTCCCCCTCCGCTCCACTCTCCCTCCCCCTCCGCTCCACTCTCCCTCCCCCTCCGCTCCACTCTCCCTCCCCCACCGCTCCACTCTCCCTCCCCCTCCGCTCCACTCTCCCTCCCCCTCCGCTCCACTCTCCCTCCCCCTCCGCTCCACTCTCCCTCCCTCTCCGCTCCACTCTCCCTACCCCCTCCGCTCCACTCTCCCTCCCTCCTCCGCTCCACTCTCCCCTCCCCCTCCGCTCCACTCTCCCTCCCCCTCCGCTCCACTCTCCCTCCCCCTCCGCTCCACTCTCCCTCCCCCTCCGCTCCACTCTCCCTCCCTCCCTCCGCTCCACTCTCCCTACCCCTCCGCTCCACTCTCCCTCCCCCTCCGCTCCACTCTCCCTCCCCCTCCGCTCCACTCTCCCTCCCCCTCCGCTCCACTCTCCCTCCCCCTCCGCTCCACTCTCCCTCCCCCTCCGCTCCACTCTCCCTCCCCCTCCGCTCCACTCTCCCTCCCCCTCCGCTCCACTCTCCCTCCCCCTCCCTCCGCTCCACTCTCCCTCCCCCTCCGCTCCACTCTACCTCCCTCTCCGCTCCACTCTCCCTACCCCCCCCCTCCGCTCCACTCTCCCTCCCCCTCCGCTCCACCCTCCCTCCCCCTCCGCTCCACTCTCCCTCCCCCTCCGCTCCACTCTCCCTCCCCCTCCGCTCCACTCTCCCTCCCCCTCCGCTCCACTCTCCCTCCCTCTCCGCTCCACTCTCCTACCCCTCCGCTCCACTCTCCCTCCCCCTCCGCTCCACTCTCCCTCCCCCTCCGCTCCACTCTCCCTCCCCCTCCGCTCCACTCTCCCTCCCCTCCGCTCCACTCTCCCTCCCCCTCCGCTCCACTCTCCCTCCCCCTCCGCTCCACTCTCCCTCCCCTCCGCTCCACTCTCCCTCCCTCCGCTCCACTCTCCCTCCCTCTCCGCTCCACTCTCCCTCCCCCTCCGCTCCACTCTCCCCTCCCCCTCCGCTCCACTCTCCCTCCCCTCCGCTCCACTCTCCTCCCTCTCCGCTCCACTCTCCCTACCCCTCCGCTCCACTCTCCCTCCCCCTCCGCTCCACTCTCCCTCCCCCTCCGCTCCACTCTCCCTCCCCCTCCGCTCCACTCTCCCTCCCCCTCCGCTCCACTCTCCCTCCCCCTCCGCTCCACTCTCCCTCCCTCTCCGCTCCACTCTCCCTACCCCTCCGCTCCACTCTCCCTCCCCCTCCGCTCCACTCTCCCTCCCCCTCCGCTCCACTCTCCCTCCCCCTCCGCTCCACTCTCCCTCCCCCTCCCTCCACTCTCCCACTCTCCTCTCCCCCTCCCCTCCACTCCTCTCTCCCCTCCCCCTCCGCTCCACTCTCCCTCCCCCTCCGCTCCACTCTCCCTCCCCTCCGCTCCACTCTCCCTCCCCCTCCGCTCCACTCTCCCTCCCCCTCCGCTCCACTCTCCCTCCCCCTCCGCTCCACTCTCCCTCCCCCTCCGCTCCACTCTCCCTCCCCCTCCGCTCCACTCTCCCTCCCCCTCCGCTCCACTCTCCCTCCCCCTCCGCTCCACTCTCCCTCCCCCTCCGCTCCACTCTCCCTCCCCCTCCGCTCCACTCTCCCTCCCCCTCCGCTCCACTCTCCCTCCCCCTCCGCTCCACTCTCCCTCCCCCTCCGCTCCACTCTCCCTCCCCCTCCGCTCCACTCTCCCTCCCCCTCCGCTCCACTCTCCCTCCCCCTCCGCTCCACTCTCCCTCCCCCTCCGCTCCACTCTCCTCCCCCTCCGCTCCACTCTCCCTCCCTCTCCGCTCCACTCTCCCTCCCCCTCCGCTCCACTCTCCCTCCCCCTCCGCTCCACTCTCCCTCCCCCTCCGCTCCACTCTCCCTCCCCTCCGCTCCACTCTCCCTCCCCCTCCGCTCCACTCTCCCTCCCTCCGCTCCACTCTCCCTCCCCCTCCGCTCCACCTCTCCCTCCCCTCCGCTCCACTCTCCCTCCCCCTCCGCTCCACTCTCCCTCCCCCTCCGCTCCACTCTCCCTCCCCCTCCGCTCCACTCTCCCTCCCCCTCCGCTCCACTCTCCCTCCCCCTCCGCTCCACTCTCCCTCCCCCTCCGCTCCACTCTCCCTCCCCCTCCGCTCCACTCTCCCTCCCCCTCCGCTCCACTCTCCCTCCCCCTCCGCTCCTCTCTCCCCTCCCTCCCGCTCCACTCTCCCTACCCCTCCGCTCCACTCTCCCTCCCCCTCCGCTCCACTCTCCCTCCCCCTCCGCTCCACTCTCCCTCCCCCTCCGCTCCACTCTCCCTCCCCCTCCGCTCCACTCTCCCTCCCCCTCCGCTCCACTCTCCCTCCTCTCCGCTCCACTCTCCCTCCCCCTCCGCTCCACTCTCCCTCCCCTCCGCTCCACTCTCCCTCCCCCTCCGCTCCACTCTCCCTCCCCCTCCGCTCCACTCTCCCTCCCCCTCCGCTCCACTCTCCCTCCTCTCCGCTCCACTCTCCCTCCCCCTCCGCTCCACTCTCCCTCCCCCTCCGCTCCACTCTCCCTCCCCCTCCGCTCCACTCTCCCTCCCTCTCCGCTCCACTCTCCCTCCCCCTCCGCTCCACTCTCCCTCCCCCTCCGCTCCACTCTCCCTCCCCCTCCGCTCCACTCTCCCTCCCTCTCCGCTCCACTCTCCCTACCCCCTCCGCTCCACTCTCCCTCCCCCTCCGCTCCACTCTCCTCCCCCTCCGCTCCACTCTCCCTCCCCCTCCGCTCCACTCTCCCTCCCCCTCCGCTCCACTCTCTCCCTCCCCCTCCGCTCCACTCTCCCTCCCTCTCCGCTCCACTCTCCCTCCCCCTCCCACTCCTCCCTCCCCCTCCGCTCCACTCTCCCTCCCCCTCCGCTCCACTCTCCCTCCCCCTCCGCTCCACTCTCCCTCCCCCTCCGCTCCACTCTCCCTCCCCCTCCGCTCCACTCTCCCTCCCCCTCCGCTCCACTCTCCCCTCCCCCTCCGCTCCACTCTCCCTCCCCCTCCGCTCCACTCTCCCTCCCCCTCCGCTCCACTCTCCTCCCCCTCCGCTCCACTCTCCCTCCCCCTCCGCTCCACTCTCCCTCCCCTCCCCCACTCTCCCTCCCCCCCCGCTCCCTCCCCCCCCCCCTCCGCTCCCCCCCTCCCTCCCCCCCCTCCCCCCCCTCCGCTCCACTCTCCCTCCCCCTCCGCTCCACTCTCCCTCCCCCTCCGCTCCACTCTCCCTCCCCCTCCGCTCCACTCTCCCTCCCCCTCCGCTCCACTCTCCCTCCCCCTCCGCTCCACTCTCCCTCCCCCTCCGCTCCACTCTCCCTCCCCCTCCGCTCCACTCTCCCCTCCCCCTCCGCTCCACTCTCCCTCCCCCTCCGCTCCACTCTCCCTCCCCCTCCGCTCCACTCTCCCTCCCCCTCCGCTCCACTCTCCCTCCCCCTCCGCTCCACTCTCCCTCCCCTCCGCTCCACTCTCCCTCCCCTCCGCTCCACTCTCCCTCCCCCTCCGCTCCACTCTCCCTCCCCCTCCGCTCCACTCTCCCTCCCCCTCCGCTCCACTCTCCCTCCCCTCCGCTCCACTCTCCCTCCCCCTCCGCTCCCTCTCTCCCTCCCCCTCCGCTCCACTCTCCCTCCCCCTCCGCTCCACTCTCCCTCCCCCTCCGCTCCACTCTCCCTCCCCCTCCGCTCCACTCTCCCTCCCCCTCCGCTCCACTCTCCCTCCCCTCCGCTCCACTCTCCCTCCCCCTCCGCTCCACTCTCCCTCCCCCTCCGCTCCACTCTCCCTCCCCCTCCGCTCCACTCTCCCTCCCCCTCCGCTCCACTCTCCCTCCCCTCCGCTCCACTCTCCCTACCCCTCCGCTCCACTCTCCCTCCCCCCTCCGCTCCACTCTCCCTCCCCCTCCGCTCCACTCTCCCTCCCCCCCGCTCCACTCTCCCTCCCCCTCCGCTCCACTCTCCCTCCCCTCCGCTCCACTCTCCCTCCCCCTCCGCTCCACTCTCCCTCCCCCTCCGCTCCACTCTCCCTCCCCCTCCGCTCCACTCTCCCTCCCCCTCCGCTCCACTCTCCTCCCTCTCCGCTCCACTCTCCCTACCCCTCCGCTCCACTCTCCCTCCCCCTCCGCTCCACTCTCCCTCCCCTCCGCTCCACTCTCCCTCCCCCTCCGCTCCACTCTCCTCCCCCTCCGCTCCACTCTCCCTCCCCCTCCGCTCCACTCTCCCTCCCCCTCCGCTCCACTCTCCCTCCCCCTCCGCTCCACTCTCCCTCCCTCTCCGCTCCACTCTCCCTACCCCTCCGCTCCACTCTCCCTCCCCCTCCGCTCCACTCTCCCTCCCCCTCCGCTCCACTCTCCCTCCCCTCCGCTCCACTCTCCCTCCCCCTCCGCTCCACTCTCCCTCCCCCTCCGCTCCACTCTCCCTCCC